AAAAAGGCAATGTCTGTGGAATACGGCCAGCCAGGCAAAGAATGTTACATACCCTCATCAGAAAAGAAGCATATTGGACATGCATTGGTGTCTTGACACGATTCGAGACTACGAAGGCCATCTCCAAAATTGACTGAGCTCCAACTGGAGACCTCTGAACACGTGTGGAAGGTTTGTGAGGCCGCAAAAGCACAGGATTTGTGGTGCCTTCCAACTTCACGTCAATGTCCACCCGCTGTCACAATAAGCAGAAAATGAGCAGAGATCAGCACACATTTTGAGGAGCACCGTCCAGATGAACAACATACAAATATACGAATCCAGGTCAGAAATGCGACCGTGACATGGTGGAGAGGTCAACTTCTATGTCAACGTGCACTTCAATAAGCATAGAAGTTGAAAAAACTCACCAAAGTTTGAGACCCGTGCACTTCAATAAGCATAGAAAAAAAAGTTGACAGAAATCACTAATGAGCCTAGCTCAGTCGGTGCACCCAACTTCAAATCCACATGATGGAAACATTTCTGAACTGCATGGGGCCGGTCAGCTCCCTGACGATATCTCAAGGCTGACAGAACTCTTTTACATCTTTCAGGTGCACTTGTAAAAGGATAGAACTGCTGCTCAACTCTTAAACCACCCATCGTCCTGTATATCCTTCGCCAAACCAAGACCCATTTTCCATGCAAATAAATCACATGTAATGACCCACCATACCACAGACTGAGAACACTGCTGATTTCTGAGTTCTACCGATGGAATGGATGCCTTGCTGAGATTCCCGCATTCTGCTGAGTTTTCTAAGTCTGTGTGTGTGCGTGCTTGGTGACCTGAGTGCCTGTCTGAGTGCTTGTCGGCATGAGTGTGTGTGTGACCCGCAAGGGTACTTGCTTGTTTGGGAGGCCCGTAGGGCCAGTACTTACCTGTGGTCGTGACATTGAGGGTTGCAGCAGGGAAAACATTCGAGTGGTGGAGCCAGGGGCCCGCTGCACTTGGATCAGCGGAAAAACACTCAAGTAGCAGGTAGGCCGGTACTGCACCCAGTAGAAGTAGATGTGCCGGGTACTCGAGGCCGAGCAGAAGAAGACAAAGTTGGCATTTTTAGAGGCCCAGTAGCAGTAGGCTAGGCCTAGGCGGGTACCAGTCCATCCAGTCTGAGTCTGGGGCCTGTACGGGCAATATCAGAGTCTGCAATGATGTTCCCTCTGAAAGGGAGGAGGTACCAGTTGCTTGGGAGGCCGAGCGGCCTGGAAGTCACCGCCCAGGAGGCAGGTAGGCCACTATATCTTGAGGCTGAGCGAAGAACCCAGCCTCATTCTTCAGTGTGCAAGTTTGGCGACACGCTGCTGGAGCGCTGGCTGGAGGAGCGCTGACCACTACAGCGCTGCTGGGAGGAAGAAGCCCGGGAGCTTCCACCTTGGCTATGGTGGAGCTCTACTGGTAGGAGAAGGGAGAAGAGGACCAAGGAGGAGAGTGGCGAGGTACCTACCTGGCTATGGTGGACACCATCTTCATCACCTTGTTAGGCACTGCATCTGGAAGGGCCCAGTTGGGGTAGTGCCGCATCAAGGAAGCTCGGGACAGAGTCAGGCATGGCGGCTGAATGGGCAGCCGCATAGCTGCCTGGTGTTAACCTTGGACAGGAGGGCAGCAACATAGCTGCTTTGGGTTGTCCTTTGAAGGGTAGAGCCCTCAGTACTCTGCCATAGCCTCGGCCTACATGAAGAGGAAGAGGAAGACCTCATGTTGTGCCTGCAGTAGAAGTGGGATTCGGACATTGATTCTGGTTCAGCCATTCAACATTATTATTGTTATTTCTTGTTTGAATAAGAGGGGAGGAGATAAGGAGGAGGAGATTGGTTGGCGAAGAAGAAGAGCATTATCTTTGGTCTATGCTGGAGTACATCGTCTTCTTCTTCTTTCTTTCTTCTTCTTCTTCTTCTTTCCCTCTCTCTCCTCTCAAGTTCATTCAGTTCTTTTTGCAATTGGACGGCATTGTACTTTCCGATGAATGTATACTTTGAAATTGGCCAGGAGCGTAACATTGGTACCAGAGCCGCTTCTACTTGCTGGCGAGAGTTGACTTTGCCAGTTGACTTTGCCTCATAACCCTAACCTAAGTGGTAAGGGGTAACCACTTAGGGTTAGGGCGGGAAGTTAGGGTTAAGTGGGGCAGCATGGTAAGGGGAAGCTGCTCCCACCTGGCAGGGCCGTGGAGGGCCGACATTAGACCCGACCAGGTTGCTTGAATGCATGTTTGTGGTGGCGAGGCACAAGGTGGGACTTCGTGATGCAATTGAAGAGAGGCGACAGTGAAGGGCACCTACAATTGGAATCTGGACTTCAAGGAAGACGAGGAGTGACTTTAGGGCTCCCCTCAAGTTAGGCAAGCTTGAGGGTGGCAGCCATATCTGCACCTACGGACTGCAATTTGCTACTTTGAACTTCAACATCGACTGGGGATCTGGCGTTGTACTTTGGGGTAGATGTTGACCCTCCTAGATGATAGGACACTAGTGTAGAGGATGCTAATTGGGTCAGGAGGATTATGTGAGAGGGGGATGAGTTTCTTTTCATCTCAAGAGCCTGGCCACTCAGGTAAGTGCCGTGCCGCCAGGGTGCCCATGTGTGTGTGCATGGAATTGACTGCCTGCTGATGTATTCTGGGTTCTTCTTCCATCCTCCATAGTCTTGATCTCGTGCGAGGTGTGTGAACTACTTGCTCACCTGACGAGTGAATGAATGGAGTATCTTGTGTGCCATGCTATATCTTTCAACAGTGCTTTGTTTATTTCATTCTGAACGGCTGTAGTCTGTAGGTTCTTTATGGGGCTAAAATTCGTTTTTCAATCCGGTAGGGGCAGAGAATAGGTCTTTGTGGAAATGTTGTTGGTTGGGATCCGGTTCTGACTCCATTGGGACCATTTGGGACTTAGTGGGACCAGGCCCAAACAAGAAGGGCCCCTCAGGTCCAAATCTGTTGACGTCAGTTACATTGCTCTATCTGATTGGACTCGGAGTTCATGCTTTCGGACCAGAATACTCGTTGCTGAGGGGATCTTAGTTGAGACGTTTTAACAAACTTTACCGCACGATCCGGCGCTTGACCCCCACCTTGGACACCACTCAAGCCTCTCTTGCATTGCGTAGTACACTTTGAATTTGATTTGTTGTGTCTTCACGGAGCTGAGCCCGACTAGGCTTAAGAGGACCTCACACGTAGTCAGACCAGACTGTGTGGCAGAATCAGATCTCTCTGATCTTTAATTTTTTTATTGTTTTGACTGCTCTCCAGTCCAAATGAATTGTCGCTCCGACTAGGAGTTCTACCTTCTCTTCTAATTGCTTTCAAGATGTTTCTTTCATTGGGTTCATTAAATGCCTATGTCTACATGATCGCAAACGAGAGAGAAAGAGAAGAGAGAAGCTTTTGAGTGTTGCTCTTGAGGGGTTGAGGAGAGGGAGGAGGAGTGTTTGTCCCATAACTGTGAGGAAGTACGGACCTCTCCACCCTCGTCCTCCGTCATGGCATCTGCAGCAGAATGGAAGCTGCAAATAGACGCTGCACCTGAGGCAGAAAAAGCGCAGTACCAGTTCTTTTATGAAAAAGTGTTGAAGAGGGAAGAGGAAGAGGAAGAGAAGGAGAAGGAGAAGGAGAAGGGAGACAAAGTAAAGGCTCATGGCGCCGTCTTCAGTACCGTGCCCGCCTTAACCGATGTTGAGGTGGAAGAGAAGATTGTCCCACTTCTCAGGGCAGTAGATGTCTGGGTTGTCGAAGACCATACCGGCCAACTCACAAAGGTGTTTGATGAACTCAAAAAGTAGCACGATATGGCCCAAATGGCGCAGCAGCACCGCGACCAGCTGCAACTGTTTGCCAACATGCAGCCGGCCCAAAGTGTCCTTCCGTCTGCCTGCCCTACTTCTAATGCTGCGTGTCGGTCCGTTTTTGCCCCTCTAACGGTGTCTTCTTCTTCTTCTTCTTCTTCTTCTTTGAGTGTGGTGAACAACCTATCCAGATCCGCAGCAGGTCTAGTCCGTTGTTGCTGCTACAATGGCAAGTGGCAGTGCAGGGCATTCTGGAACTGTTGCAGCACCGAATTCGGACCCAGCAATCGCTGGTCCTAGCTGCAGCTTTCCCTGCGTGGACAGGAAGGCGCCACAGATTCCGTCTAAGTATGGCGGAAAAGACGACATTGAGTCTTGGATCAGCTCTATGTGATCCTGCTTTGATGTGCTGGAGACACACCGGTTACTCAGTCATCGGTCCTAGGGACCGATGTGGAACCCGCTTTAAGAGGCTTCTTAGAACTCCAAGTTGTGTAGTCAGGCTATAAAAGAATAGACTTGAACAAATGGTTGAAGGCTACACCTATAGCCACACTCGAGGATCTCTTGATCAGGCAGTATGCTGATCCGCATGCTGCTAGACTCAAGCTTGACAAGCTCAAGCACAGCAAGTGGACCGACACCACGCATAGTCTGCAGCAGTACGTCAGTGAACTCTTTGCTAATCCTGATCTGGAGATGACTGTGCGGTCTTGCTTTGATGTGACTAAAGGTATGGTTCCCTCTCCTGCGACACATCGCCTGGGGCTCGGACTCATAGCATATACAGATTGGCTTTCCCTCATGCGGGATTTAGTCAAGCTGGAGGCATATGACCTCCCGAGCGGATCGGGTGGCAAAAAGACCACCAGCCGCAAACAGTTTCCGGGCAACAACCATTTTGCAGCGCACGATCAACTTGAGGTTGACGAGGAGACTTTCGCAGAGGACCATTCTCTTGGTGACGATCAAGAGCAAGACTGCGAGGCATCTTGCTCTTCGCCAACCCATAAGTTCGACTATGTAGATGATGATGAATCTATGAATGCTTTTAAGAACACACACACACACACACACACACACACACACACACACACACACACACACACACACACACACACACACACACACACACTTCAAAAGTAAGAGACCGAAGAACGCAGTGAAGAACAACACTAACACCATTCTCCTCCCCAAGGGCGCAAAGATTCCACCCAAACCGGAGGATCCTGCCGCAAAACCATGGGTAGATCTCCGGATTAGTGAAAGTGAGTGGAAACACAGGGTGAAGAAAGGGGTTTGCTTGCATTGCACCAAACCGGGACACTCAATCCAACATTGCTTCAGATTGCAGCAGGGAAACCAGCAAAGGGAGTAGAGACATCATCAGCACACTCTACAGACGG